ATGAAAGGAACAAAAACAGAACTAAAATATGATGTTTATGAAAGAGAAATAGCAATATAATAAAATGTGAGATAGAGAATGACACAAGTAGTGAGACAGAAGATCCATTGTGCTTGTCAACCTGAGAGAGAATGGCTTAGGGAATAAGATGGGAAGTGGGATAGAGAATCCGTTGTGGATTAAATCATGCCTACTGTCTAAATCTACATTGCTAATTAATGCATTAATAATGACTTGTACTATGTGCATTGATAACTTATGCTCTTAATGATAAAAGTTGTACAAGGTATGAATTTATGATGGAGTGGTGTGGATTTAACCCCTCCTTAAATATAATCACCCACATTAATATACCATTGGTAGAGCAGGCAAGCTAAATTTTTAGCTTAAATGGTCTCTTCAAACTACTACGTTTTCCCCACACGAAGTAGGCAACTAGTACTAGAAGGTTTGGAAACTTGAGCGAATGAATTTTCAACCTCGCAAGCTAATGAGCTTATTGATTACGAAGTTCATGGAGATGTATCTGTTGATAATGTTTAAGGTTTAGGGAAAAATGAAATCATGGATTACTCTGCAATGGAGCTTTTTTTATGAGACGGATAATTCAAGAAAATGCATTGAAATTCAACATATAAAAATGCCAACCTATTTGTTGTCAATCTAAAAATAGGATAAAATACTACCCAACGTCGATTGAGCTTTTGAGTTCTTAAACTACATATGTAGTCATCCTTGAGGAATAACATGTTACAAGGACACAAGACATGCTCATGCTGACAAAGAATTCAAGAATTTATTGGGAATTCAATGTTACCTCATCAATAATTTAAGTTATTCATAATATTTTTAGAGAAAGTTTAAAACTCGTAAAATGACAAATCAGATTAATTTGAAAAGCAACACAATCAACTGCTGCTTCTAGAGACAAATAAAAGTCTTCAATTGAACATTTGTCGAAACAAATGAGAACAATTGTTAGGAAATTGGCTTAATTTCTTTTAGGTAGAATTCTTGTTTTGTGTGAAAGTAATTAGTTTTCTAATTGGTTTTAGTTACTTGAAGTAGTAGCCAAGGAATATTCTATTTCTTTTAGGATTAGAAGTTATTTCCTATTCTAACTCAGTGTAGGAATTAGAATTGGTTTCCTATTGTTATTTGGGTTTTGATCAAATAATGTTCTCTATAAATACATGAGTTGACATACTACACAAGAGACACACAAGGGCATACAAGAGGGCATCATGTAGCCTTATACATGGGGTGTGAGAGAGGGTTCTTGAGAGATGAGAGATGGTATACAAGGGTTGGTTTTGGGTTCAAATTGTATTCTTGTATAAGGCTTTCCTCTCATAATAAAGAACGGGTTTCTCTCCGTGGATGTAGGCTCAATGGTGGAGCCGAACCACGTTAAATATTGTGTGTCATTTATTTTTCATGCTTGTGACTTGTTCCTCATTAAATTATTGTGCATTTGATATCTCAATAATTGTTTATTTAACATGAAAGTGCTTAAGTGTTACACTTTTTTAATACATAGAGTAAAGCAGAACAAAGAGATATTTTTAGGTGATACTCTATATCTTACAAAAAAAATAAAAAGAAAGATTTCTAATCCACACACACATATGTATGTATGTATGTATGTATGTATGTATGTATGTATGTATGTATGAGACATACCACTCTAAATTTTATTAATTAAAATAAATAAGGAGGCCACGAACTTGACCTCGAAGATATGTTAGATAAATCATAAGTAAGGAATATCATTCCTTTACAATGTTATGTCTAAAATATGGAAAACTAATCTTCATGTACTTGATTATATTCTAAATATTGGATTCTCTCATAGTTTAGTATTAAACTAACATAGCGAAGTACAAAGGTAAAAATTCTAAACCGGTCCTCACACACTACCTTTACACAAAATCTTTAGTCCCTCTCCTTGCATAAGAAAAAAAATATAGAAAATGAGAGTTGTTTGGACAGCCATTTTTTAAAGAAAAATTGCGATGTTTTCCGTGAACACATTTCCCAATCACTTTTTTACCTTACATATATCAAATCACTACAGTATTTTTTCTACAAAAAATCTAGAAAAATGCAATCCAAACACAAAAATTTTCCCTGTACATGCTACTGCTTCGTCCAAAATTTCGTATGCAATAATTCTCATTTCCATGGAATCAAGCCCTACATGACGATGATCTGCTTTTTATAGTAAACAAGGCTTCTGGAATGAGAAAGATAATACTTGAATTAATGCTGCAACCAATTATACGTATATATTTGTTATGTTTAATTTTCAAGATTGACTTTCTCCAACTTTCAATCAGTCCATAAATTTTTTTTTTTGTGCTGAGGAAAATTTTTAGAAAAATTAAATAAGCTATGAAATTCACTAGAAAGAAATGCAAACAATTTAATCACTTTCATCGCATTTGAAAACTGGGAAAGCCACAGGGGTATACATGATCTAAATGAGACATAATATTCACTTATTAGATACTAGAAAGTTGTGTAACTGAGCTTATTTCAGATTTCATTGAAAGATATTTGCTAATTTGACAATTAAGATAACTTTTGTTGCTAAATTCTTGTCTGTATCTAGGTGGAGATTTCATTCAAACAGAAGAAGCAAGTGGTCGGGAAAGTGCTTCAAAAAAAATGAAAAGGGAATTTAAACGAGCCCCTTTGTCTTTCATGTCCGAGTGTGTTTGGATAGAAAATTATTTGGAAAAATTTTTATAATCACAATGTAGCACTTCTTTTGATATGGTATATGTGAAATAAAAAATTGATTACAAAAATGAAAAACTGATTGAAAATTATTTTAGAGATGCAATTATTTTTTTCCATTTTGTTGCCTTATGTAGACACAATTGCAGGTAGCAACCATTCCTGATGGTTAAGGATGGTTGCCCCAAAAAAAAAAAAAAAAAAGTGTAAAGCCCATATCATATGGAGTATATCGTTTTTTAATGTCATGATGATTGGGGTTCACAAAAATTATTCTTTGTTATTCAGTGTTCAAATTGGTTTAAAATAACTGAATAGAAGACTTAGACCCTATTTGGATTGCTTTTTGTTTTTTGGAAAAAATTTCTTATTTTCAGGAATATTCCATTTGCATACTTTTCAATCAACTTTTTATATCAACATACGTCATATTCTAGAAATATTAAAGTAATTTTTTCTCAAAATCTCTTTAAAAAATGCAATCCAAACAACTTCCTATATTCTGTTCAAATGCATAAAATCGTTCCAGAACAGTTAAACTGGCTCCCAGTTTTTTTTTTTTTAATTTAAAAATGTTTCCTCTTAACATGTAACTCAATCAAGCGCAACGCGGGTTGTCAAATCAAACCTCACCGCGTCTGGTATTCCGACTTTCAAGTCCCAAGTTCACACTTCACATTCACATTTCACTGCGGAATAGACCTTCGAAACAGAGGGTCAAGAGCCTTTGTAATTATCTATAATGTCGCTGCCATCGTGATAAATGTAAACCGATACCCCTATCAACTTGAGGGTCCTATGGTCAGTCAATCTCATGAAAGGTCAACCGATACCCCTATCAACGCGCAACTATTTGTTTGAAAAGGTATGAAGTATTATGTAGGCCTGTCAACGGGTCGGGTCTAGACCCGAATCCGGATCGGATCCGTGAAATTATTGCGGGTATGGATAGGGATTTAATTCCGTTTCCCGGATCCGTTTTGTCAAACAAAAACGGGTCGGATACGAAATATAGTATTCCGACCCGTATTAGACCCGGATCCGGATATAAATGAATTAATAATTTAAAAAAATATATATTTATCAATATAATTTGATTAGGGTGATGTATTTGAATAAAGTCAATTTGATTTCTTTTCTTATTTGGTTTTTTCTTTGCATTAGTAAGAAATTAGTTTACAAATATATTTTTTTCTCATTTTTATTAGAAATTATAAATTTTGTTAAATTTGTTCGGGTAGACCCGACCCGGATCCGGAACCCGCCGGATCCGGATCCGGAACATAGAATAAAAGACCCGTCTGGTAAACGGGTCGGATCGGGTCCGGTATAGTAATAATTTCGGCCCGGACCCGGCCCGTTGACCGCCCTAGTATTATGGAGCTTGAGGGTGCTACGGTCAATTAATCTCATAAAAGCTTGAACCCCACTCTATTAATGTGCAAGTGTTCACTGTAAAGTGTAATGCAGAGAGAGTGGACGACAGCAAAAGAGTTCGAGGAAGAAAAGAAGAAAATAAGGAGAAATTTTTTGTTTGGATAGAATATTATTTGAAATATTTTTGAAATAAATACTGTATTACTTTTTTTGATGTGATGTATATGAAATGAAATTAAAAAAAAAAGTGATTGGAAATATAAAAAGATGGTTTGAAAAATATATTTATGATGCAAACCAAATATTATTTGGTAAAAATCAACTATCCAAACATATAACCACAAAACATTCAACAAATATTTTGATACTCATGACTTCTGGGATTCATAGGTTGGTTTAGATACTCTGATCATATACGCTCAAGAGGAAGTGAAGGTGTTGAAGAATCAGAAAAAAACTAGGACTTTGCTTGGATCGAGAGTTTTTTCAAAAAATACCACATATTCTAAAAACACCTCCAAATATACGCAATCTCAAATACACATAACAAATTAAATAAATAAAAATACCAATTCTTTCTTCTCTCACCCACCACGACCACCACCCTCCTTGTCCACTTCTTACTGCTCCACCGTCACCACCCCCTCCTTCCTCCTCTCTCCTCCCTCTCCCTTCCCCTACTTCCTCCCCTTCCCTCCTCCCAGAACAGGAATTCATCCTCACTTTACAGTCTACTAAAGACATACAGTGGATTCTCATTCATAAACAGTACACATACGATTGAAGGATTTTGGTTTGGTGAGAAGTACATTGCGATAGCTAATACATATAACTTGTTCAAACTGACATCTAATAGAGTTGAAGTATTAATAACCAAATCTTCAATACTCATTCTGAAACATATCCAGCACCTTGGTCTCCAAGTCCTTGACAGAATATTTTATGTACTCACTGATCACACGCTTCACTTTGTGTACTCGGCTTAGCCGCTCAAGAAAGTGATTATAGGCCGGAATCAGCTTAGCCAATATGCATTCAAGAAGTTTCATCCGCAGCTGCTGATCTGGTACTATCCATCCTTCTTGAGCCTGAAGAATATCTTCAAACAGATGATTGAAGGTCTTGAACTTTTTTTTCACAGCTCTTGTAGACCTTCCAGGAAAGAAATCACAATTCAAATGTGATTTTAATCCTTCACCCTTTAAAAAAGTGCAGACTTCGCCCCAACTTCTACGGAAATAATCAGTCTTTGCCAGCTCCACTTTTTCTCTTAATTTCATCTGCAGGTGAGTGCCAATAAGTTCTTCCAACTCCTTGGAACTTTTAATCTTCTCAGAAACAGAGTTAACATTGTTCATCATGAACAGACAATGCAGAGATTCTTGTCCATAGAAGTTGGACTTGAATTTCAAGTTCTGCAGGAAAAACTCGATAACTCGAGTAAGATGCCTCTTTAGGAAAATTAGCCCTTCATCCATTTCACGTGAACCCGGTATTTCTGGAGGATCTTGGTCGTCATTGGAACCTTGGGGTCTAGCCACCAACTCAGTTAAGGATTCCCTGTGAACATAAATCAGGTCAATGTGATGAATTATGTACTTAGTTAAGGGGTGAATTCCTCCTCCAGGTAATGGCCTTGTCGAAAGCTCACGAAGAACGTGTTTCTCTGTAACAGAAAGGAGGTTTGCCATTTGCTGTTTCAGTCGGAGCATAATGTTAGTGGCAAAATTGCAGATGGTTTTCGCTAGGCATACATCTTGGTCCAAATATGCCATCAGATGTGGAATTAGATTGGTTAGTTCATGATATAAGGGCAACAAAATGTCTGGTCTCTGGGGCAATCGGCCCCTGGCTAATAGAGAGTCTGGAAACTCAAGCAACTCAGCAGCAGTCCCTTCTATTATGTACACAAAACCGTTAGCAGCAGAATCCTCGAATGATCCCAGATCTCCAAAAATTTGCTCATAGAAACACTTCTCTATTCCAAAAATGGTGCCTACGCAAATCTTGGCTACTTGTATCCACCGTTGGGTTTTCTCACTCAACTCATCCGTGCACATAAAAACACAGACGGTCTCTACCTTCAATTTCTCACGAAGCCTCACATATACCAGGTTGACTACATCCTTTCGATGCTCGGTATACATCTGAACACAATCAGCCAATTCATTTCTGGAGCTCAACGTTGCTGCCATACACCTAAGCGTTTTTATACCTTCCTCACTAAAGACTGCGTGATGGCCCTCGTAGTCTTCGTAGTGCAATGTGATGGTGGAGCTATCTGTAATGGAAGCTGAAAGATACACTGAATTATTCGAACTCTTCAAGAATTGATCTGCACCTATGGTGTACTTGGGGTTGAATAATACGTCTAGGAAAAGGTGCTTGAGGTGCGAAAACGGGATTTGGGATTTGTTATCACTGTGAATTGGGAGTATATCTTTTGTGGAATTCATACTTGGGCGGGTGAAATCAAGGTCCCAATGTCTCGGTACTGTAATTATGTCTCTTGACTTTGCTAAAAAGGTGCACGAGGGGCCGCGGAAATGCCAGTTCGGAGAAGTGCTTAGGAAATACAAAAATGCGGTTGGAAATTGTCATCAAAAGATGGAAGGGAATTGGACATGGCAGACAACAAACAAAGAGCATCAAAATTGCTGTTGGGGCATATCTCTGTTGTATGCAGCAATTTGTATACTGAAGATTGCAGAGAGAAAAAGCGTGGTGTGGGAGTCCGAAAGAAAAGAGGAGGTTCGGTTTGGGCTGGGCTTGGGGGGATTTTGAGTGAGGGCAAGAAGAAGATGGTCAGACTAAGGTGGGATGAATGCCAACGGAGGAGCTGCTGCTTGGAAGCTTCTGATGGGTGGTTACTGTGTGTCTGCGTGTTTTATTTTCTTCCAATTTTCGTTTTTAGTAGTAGAACATACTGCATTGAGTGCAGGAGAAAGAGCCAGGAAAGTAAGCCAGCCGGGTTCCAATTTTCGTTTTCAGTAGTAGAATATACTACACCGAGTGCAGGAGTAAGAGCGGAGGAAAGCAAGTCAGCTGGGTCCGACTAGTAAACGGTATACAGAGGGAAGTAATCGATCAAGTCTTCTAAAGCCAGAATGACTAAAGTACGTATTCTCGGGTTCCATGCTGGACCAATGGATTCCTTCCAAACGACCTAATTTTTTGTGGAATAGTTGGGCAGTAAAGCAGGAGTCTGGCTCCAATGTTCCAAGAGTAGATTGGGACATAGAAATAAAAATCAAGGAATTTTCATCGAACTTGCTCGAAGGTCATGCAAGTTTCACGTTCCTTATGAACTGCCAAATCGGGACTCACAATGGAGATAGAAATTGTCTTCACTCAGTTTAAAGAAATCACAGAGAATGAGAGACTCACCTTGAAATGTATGGAAGAATTGGCTTTTGGATTAACATCTCTCTATAATTCTTTTGCAGCTGATGAAATCATTGGAGAGCCTATGAATAAAATTGGTCTTTGGCTATCTGAAATGCTCAAAAAGGTTCAGGTTTTGAAGGCAAAGCGTGAAGAGCTTTATCTTCAAGTACCAATACTAAATTTCCCCAAGAATCCTGCACCATGCTTCATTGAGTTTCTACAGCAAAAATTAAAACAGCAGCTGAAGTCGAATCGTGATTTAGTCGAACATTTGACCCATCATATTCAAACCTTTTCTGAGGACCAGTAATACCTCACGTGCATGCTTTGCACGTGAATATATTTTCCAAAATATAAAACCTTTAACATATTAAATTTTGTGCAAAACTTTGATTATTAGCACAATATAAACTAAGAAATTATATAATGAACAAAATTAAACAATTGGTAATTGTACAAAAAGTTTATTGTGTATAAAACAATTAAAAGTTTATTGTGCATTCTATACTTATAAAAACTCTGAAGATAGATGATTATCATATTTAAACTAAGTTATTGGTGTAATATTGATTAAGAAACTATATAATAAGCAAAATTAAGCATTGCTAGTTGTAGAAAATGTTTATTATATACAAAGCAATTAAAAATTTATTGAACTCTAAAGATGGAAGATTATCATGTTGCATATTTTACTTGGATTGTGATAGTAAGAAGAGGATGTTTTCCATGTTCTATCAAATTAGTGTATACAACAAAACCTGAGTGAAATACATACTAAGATGTTATGATTTGCATACAATAAGTTTTTATCAATTTTAGTAGTTGTAACCTTTTCTGCTATATTTTTAATCATTATCAATAATGTTTTTGAAGTTTTCTTAGTCAATATGATATAATATAGTTAATTTAATCATCAATTTAACCTTTTTCTTTCTCATTAATTGTTTATAATCTTTTGCTTTTTTATTAATTATGATTTTCATCTAAACCAATATGTATATAAAATATAGTTAACTTTAATTAACACACATAAGAATATAATAATTGGAGATGAAGAATATGATTGGTCAATATAATTATAAGTGGGCAGTTTTTAATTTTAATTACCAATATTTTTGAGATGTAATTTATTGAAACTTTTCATTTTTCTTATTAGTGTTATGATTAAAATGCAAATAACTCTAATTAAAAGACATGAGAGTAATTTAAGTATAATAAAAACTAAAATCAAAATATGCTTACACTTACACTGCCTTGCCAAGACTCATTATACTTTTTATATACTCCCTCCATTCCAATCAATTGGTTGTGCTTTGGGAATCCCACATTTTTTCAACAGTGTTCAGATTTCCAAAGGTTATGGGTTATGTTCCAAGAATGCCCTGCTTGAATTAGCTATGTAGCCTACGTGTGTTGCTCCATTCAAGGTAGGATAGAGTGGTGATAAGACTGTGGGACCCATACCTATAATATGTTGTCAAGCTCTTTTGGCGAAAATGCAATGCACGAATCACTCACACACCATCAAATGAAAATTCTCTATTTCATAGGTGAACATTGGGCCCACTAAAATATAAGAATCTTCTTGTAAGATTTAAGGGCATCAATGGAAATCGGTGAAAGTTTTGATTGCCATTATTGGCAAGTAACACTAATTTTGGGACGGATCAAAAATGAAAATATGACACTTCTTTGCCTTGTAGTATTTCAAGAAGACAAGGAGATTCCAGTTCAAAATTTGACATGGCTATGGATGGTGGAAGGGTGTTCGCACAAAAAAAAAATGCGGACAACGGAAGTAATTTTGACACATAAAAATATGTGGAAAAAGGAGGAGAACAAATATTTAATAAATTCTCAATAATTTAATTGACTCAAAACTCAACAATAATAACATTAAGTCGTAACGTTCGCTCACGACAACTTTCAAATCACAACTATTGGACTTTGTCTCAAACCCGCTCTCTAGATTCAACTCAACTCCAAGTAATAACTTAGTAGACTGACAATATTTATAGATTCTAAAACTTCCTAAAACAAATACAACTGTAAACCAAAACTTACTTAGAAACTAATTTTAGATTTCCTAATCTAATATAGAAACTAAAATAATAAGATCCCAAAAAGAATTAGGAAACTAAATACTAAAATAGATTGGTTTAATTTCCTTCATTGCCTTCCTTAAACCAAACACTTGATGTTGTTATCTCCAATGCCATCACGAGCTTAAATTTCCATGAAAAATTCAATTGCTGTATAGATGACCTGAAACTCCAACTTGCAATTGATTTTCAATTTCATCTTCGCGTGTGCTAGTTAACAAAACTTGTATTTCGTGAACAATTTCTTGGCTTGATCACTTCTCTCAAAAAGTCAAACATGTTCACCCATGCTTCATTGCATACTCCATAGTTCAATTCATCCATGTCGATCGAGAAAATTTCTTGAAATCACGAAATCATACTTTTCACTGCCAAAAATTTCAACACCATCATGAACTTGTTTTGATTCGTCCATACCAATAACCATATTAGTTTTAGTTACCCCATAAAACTCAACTAATTGTCTGCCTCACTATTGTTTTTAACCAAGTTTATCATTTGATTTTTCTTTTAAAAAAATTTATCAGTCCCGACAAAATTAACAATTTCTACGTTGCCACAATCTTCAATTACATCAGTAATTTCACCAATAATTTCGCTTTCTTTATCAACCACTTGTGAAATTTCTTTTTGAAGAAATTCCTCATCTTTATGTGCACCCACAACTTTTGCAATTTCTTCTTTTTTTGACTCATCAAAAAATTCTGTTTCTTTTTTCTTGTCACAAATTTCTTTTTCACCATGACCACAGTAAGAATTCATTAAAAATTTTCAAGCTTCCTTTGCTGTCATTGCATGTATGAATTTATTCACTACATGCAACTACAGTTGAGTGTTAAGATAGTAGAATGCTTTACAATCCAACTGTCTATTCCTCTCCAACTCTTTGATTGCATCACCTGATGATTCCATATGCCTCGTATAGGTTCCGTGAACCCCCTTTGGATAATATTCTAAATTCCAATAAGTCAAAAAAACCTTTTCATGATCTAACTCCAAATTTCAAAAGAGTTTTTACCATCAAAGATAAAAATGCCACAATGTGGTTAAATAATATGGATCCATACTTTAATTTCACGAACAAACCACAATCTCCAAGATTAAAGCCTAGATTCTGATACCACTTGTAGGCACACAAAAAAAATGCGCACAGCAGAAGTAATTCTGACACATAAAAATATGTGGAAAGAGGAGAACAAATACTCAATAAATTCTCAATAATTTAATTGACTCAAAATTCAACAATAATAATACTAAGTCATAGCCTTCGCTCACTACAACTTACAAATTACAACTATGAGACTTTTGTTAGACATAAGGAGCAGGATCTTTAGTATGATTTGTAAATTAAACTTAAGAAATAAATTCTAGATTAATATACCTTGAGATATTGAAGACATTTTTTGGAGAAGAATTTCACAGCCCTTCAGCAAGCCTTCCAATCACCAAGGTTGAAAACTATAAACCTTTGCTGTCTAGCCTTCCCTCACCTAACTCTCTATTATGTTATTGTAGTGATGGGTAAAAAATAACGAATGTCAGAGTGGTCAGAGGGACCAGGAGCCCTAGAGTATTTATAGAGTCACAATCCCTCCCATCATAGAATTGTGATAGACTCTAATTTCTTCAGATATATGATACTTTATTATGATAAGATACAGCTTAATAATCACTGTAATTATCAGATAAAATATCACATATAATACATCTAGATACAACGAATATGGAATTCCTTACTTTCTCCAATTTGTCTATCTTTAGGATTCTAATTAAAACTATCAACATAAATCTATTTATGTGGTTACTAATCTCATGAGCTAGTGAGATAACAATTGAATATTGAAACCATATCATGTGGTCATGTAGGCCACACTAATATTTCAACATTCTCCCACTTGGACAAATGACCACATACATTTGATAGTCCAGAATCAAGAAACAAAATAAGTGGCCACAAAAAAATGTTTACCCTACGTTGTTATCAAAATGGATTATGGCGGTTATATGTCAATTGACAAACATATTCCCTTCCATATATCACAATTTTAATAACTAGATGTAGATAAACTAATTGAGGAAGGAATGAACAACAAAATAAGAGTGTTCATTAATGGTCCATATATTATATCCTGACTAATTTCTTTCGAAAATACAAAAATATGCACAAAGCAGGAAATAATATATAAGCAATTATGTGTCCAGAATAATACACAATATTCATAAAATAGCAAGACCCATGGAACTGACATGTTCCTGAAATTTCTTTGGCGCCAATGCTTTCATTAATGGGTCTACAAGCATCAAATCAATGTTTATATGCTCAATGGACACCTTTTGCTGTTGAATTCTTTCTCGAACAACATGAAATTTTAATTCAATGTGCTTAGATTTGCTAGAGCACTTGTTATTTTTCGAGAAAAATACAACTGCAGAATTATCACAATATACCATAATAGGTCGGGATATAGAGTCCATAATTTGAAGACCTTCAATAAAATTTCGCAACCAAATGGCTTGAGAAGTGGCTTCATGACAAGCTATAAATTCTGCTTCCATTGTGGAAGAAGCAATTATAGTTTGTTTTGCACTTTTCCATGATATAGCTCCACCAGCGAGCATGAAAACATATCCAGAAGTAGATTTCATGCTATCAATACATCCCATAAAATCCGAATCCGAGTACGCAACAATTTCAAACTGATCACTATGCTTATAGGTGAGCATTAAATTTTTGGTACCCTGAAGATATCGCATCACCTTTTTAGCTGCGATCCAGTGATCAAATCCCGGATTACTTTGAAATCTACCAAGCATTCGAACAGCAAAACTAATATTTGGGCATGTACAAGTTTGAGCATATATCAAACTTCCTACAGCTGAGGCATATGGTACTGTTTCCATTTTATGTCGCTCAAGATCATTCTACGGACATTGATTTTGACTCAATTTATCACATTTAATAATGGGACATGGAGTTGCTGAACAGTTTTGCATTTGAAATCTTTCAAGAACTTTGGTTATATAAGATCTTTGAGATAAACCAAGAATTTTCTTGGACCTATCCCTATGAATCTCAATGCCAAGCACAAAAGATGCATTTGTTATATCTTTCATTTCAAAGTTCTTAGAAAGAAAGCTTTTAGTTTCATGCAATAAACTTAACGCATTAGTAGCAAGTAATATGTCATCAACATACAAGATCAAAACTATGAACTTACTCCCACTAACCTTTAGATATACACAATCATCAAGTTTATTTTCTTGAAATCCAAAGGATGTAATGGTATCATGAAATTTAAGATACCATTGACGGGATGCTTGTTTAAGTCCATATCTTGATTTTTTGAGTTTACATACTAATTGCTCTTTGCCTTCCTCCTTAAACCCTTCGGGCTGTTGCATGTAAATTTCTTCATCTAGATTTCCATTCAAGAAAGTCGTTTTTATATCCGTTTGATGTAGTTCTACATCATAATGAGCTACAAGGGCCATAAGTATACAGAAAGAATCCTTTTTGGATACTGGAAAGAAGGTTTCATTATAGTCTATTCTTTCTCTTTGAGTGAATCCTTTAGCCACTAGTCGGGCTTTATAACGGTCATTATTACCTTTTGAGTCTCGTTTGGTCTTAAATACCCATTTACATTGAGTAGGTACGACACCCTTAGGTAATTCAACCAGTTCCCAAACTTGATTAGCCTGCATAGATGCCATTTCACTTTTCATAGTATCCATCCATTGATTTGATTCACTACAACTTATGGCTTGTAAAAACGTCAATGGATCATCATCAATACCTTGGCCATTTTGTTCTCGTAGATACACTAAATAGTCATTTGAAACCGCATTGGTCCTTGTTCTTTTTGACCTTCGTAGAATCTGATGATCATCAGACTGTGTATCTGTGAGAATAATGGTATCGTTATCACCATTAGGATGCGATGTTTCAGAAATTTCCTTTGATTCTGGAATTAACACCATATCTCTTTTATCACGACTCCCACTAAAATTCTCATTTTCAAGAAATTTAGCGTTATTTGATTCCATTATTCTATTGTAATGATTAGGATAATAAAATCGATATCCTTTGGACCTTTCTGGATAACCAATAAAATAGCAACTAATGGTCTTTGGATCCAATTTTCTTTCATGTGGATTATAAAACCTTGTTTCAGTAGGACAACCCCAAACATGTAAATGGTTTAAACTTGGTTTCCTACCAACCCATAATTCATAAGGGGTTTTAGCAACAGCTTTGGTAGGAACTTTGTTTAAAATATACAGGGCGGTCCTCAAGGCTTCACTTTTCAAAAACTCAGGAAAAGTTGTGTCACTAACCATACTTCGAACCATATCTAATAAGGTTCGATTACCCCTTTCAGCTACACCATTCTGCTATGGCGTCCCGGGCATTGTATATTGAGCAATAATTCCGTTATCTTGAAGAAATCTAGCAAATGGTCCTAAATTACGACCAGTTTCATCATATTTTCCATAATACTCACCACTCCTATCAGATCTCACAACTCTTATTTTTCTATCTAATTGATTTTCAACCTCTGCCTTGAAAATTTGAAACATACTCAAAGCATCGGATTTTTCCTTAATTATATAGAGATAGCCATAACGTGAGAAGTCATCAATAAAGGTGATAAAGTATTTTTCACCACTTATGCAAGGAGGAAATGGACCACAAATATCTGTGTGTATCACTTCAAGCAGCCCTAAACTTCTAGTGGTATTTTTCTTGGTACTTTTAGTTTGCTTACCCTTAATGCAATCTATACAAGTACCAAAATTTGTAAAAGCATTCTATCGTTTCCGAAAAAAAAAACCAAAATTTGTAAAATCAAGGGTTGGTAAAACTCAATCTTTTACAAGTCGCTTAAGTCGGTCATTAGATATATGACCTAAACGTTTATGCCACAACAATGATGAAGTTTCATTATTACGGCTGCGTTTGGTGCAAACATTAACATTCATATGCAAGGAAAGAGATTGTGAAAAAATAGGATCAAGATTTATTTTATATAATCCATCAACTAAAAACCCACTGCCAACAAAACTATTATTTTTAGACATAGAAAAATTCTGATCCCCAAATTGAAATTTATAGCCATCTAAATCAAGACGGGATAAAGAAATCAAATTTCTAGAAAAATTAGGAACATAGCAAGTGTTTGGTAGATCTAGTAAAATGCCAGAATGTAGAAAAAGTCTATAGGTCCTAATGGCTTCAACTTTTACCCCCATCTTGTTCCCCATTAGTATTGTCTTTTCCCTTGTCATTGGTTGGCTGGTTGTAAGGTATCCCTGCATATTATTAGAAATGTGAATAGTTGCACCAGAGTCAAGCCACCAAGTATTAGAAGGAACATCAACTAAATTGGTTTCCAAACCAACAAATGAAAGGAAATTACCCTTCTTTTGAAACCATGCCTTGTGTTTTACGCAATCTTTCTGCATATGTCCCTTCTTCTTGCAAAAATGGCATTGCCCACCAAAACCTTTATGGTTGGATGCCTCTTTATTTGGTGCCTTAGGATACTTCCTTTTGTGCCTTTTAGGTCTATTTGCATTATGACCTTGTGATACCAAATGCACAGTCTGAGTCTGCAATCCTTCTCTTTTCAACCTCTCTTCCTCTTCGTGACACATAGAGATAAGTTGAGAAACATTCCACTTATCCTTTTGTGTATTATAATTGATCTTGAAAGGACCAAATTGTGGAGGAAAAGAGTTAAGGATGAATTGTACCAAAAAGGACTTAGAAATAGTCATATCCATACCCATAAGTTGTTCAGCAATATTGTTCAGTTCTATGATGTGTTCACGAACACCACTTACCCCATTACATTTCTTAGTTGTCAAAGTAGCCATAAGAGTACCTACCAAAGCTTTGTCCGATGTCTGAAATTACTGCTCAACCGATGCCAAAAACACACGAGCCCTACCAGAGTCAAGAATTGACTTCCTTATATGTTTTGCAATTTTACTCTTAACAATCATTAGGCTTAGTCGGTTGGAATGCTCCCAATTCTCATACAGGATCCTTTCCTGTTTGGTGCTTTTAGAAGTAGGTTGCATAGGCTCATCAATATGGAGGCATAGGTCCAAGTCTAGGCAACCCAAGGTAATAAGCACTTGGTCTCGCCAATCAGAAAAATTGGACTCATTCAACTCCGGAATGTTAGCTGCAATTCTTGAAACCCGAAGCTGGAGTAATGGCTGTAAATACAGGTCAAGCCATGAGATAAATATATACGGAGTAATCAAGGGCATCATCGTATTCTACCTTTGGGTCAGAATAACGACATGCTAACGATTCACTCATTAAGTGATAACAATTATTCACTTACAACTTTAACAGAGATATCATATTCTTTTGGGTAATATAATAACTCCTCATGACTATAGAAATTAAAATACCTTTGGGCAAATTTTAATAACTATAGCATAATACAAAATAGATATATATAACCTTTACATAAACTGTATATCAATTAGGCCACTTTGGTGGCAACTATCATGTTTATACAGGTTATTGAACTTTAGGGCCCAAGAACACGATTGCATTGGTTTAATATATGCTAACTTAAATATCCATGAACCATTCTTAAGAACACCTTTGTCTCAAATTGCCCAAATATGCATTTATATACGCTTTGTTAAAATTTGAGCCTTTCATGAAATTGTAATTCTTAATATTAGCACAAAATTTTCTTCCCAAAATTGTGCACATATCAATTAACGGACACCATGAAAACAAAGGTAATAGTATATATGCACTAACTAATTTGGGTTAAAAGAAAATAGTACACCATGACATAAACTATGCAACCATTAAGGTAGTATGCAATCATTTATGCAATCAGCCAGCATAATTGAAGTGTGAACATTGAGGCTATTGCTAATAGTATATATGCACTAACTAATTTGGGTTAAAAGAAAATGGTACACCATGCCATAAACTATGAAACCATCAAGGTAGTATGCAATCATTTATGCAATCAGCCAGCATAATTCAAGCGTGAACATTGAGGCTATTGCAAAAGAGCAAATTTATCAGTGATATAATTCCTTACAAATGGTGTTTCAAATCAAGTACAATTTACCCATTCAAATTTTATTTTAATACACAAAACCCTTTATGGCATAGAAATTAAGATGCACATAATATGGTTACATTCAGAATCATTAGTAGAATATCTTGGGTACTATAACCGAGCATATATCTAACTCTCCTTGATTTCTTGCAATCAATCAATCATGATTAATAATAAGCATATAAGTATATATATATGAACCGAGCATACAAACAATCATGTACCGAGCATACAATCAATCATATATATATATAATCATGATTAATCATGAACCGAGCATACAATCAATCATGGGATTCGTAATAAGCATATATATATGATTAATAAAAACACCTAACTATCACCTTTGTATAACAACTAGTGGAAATCGTTAAGGAACATAATCAAGGCCGTCATATGCGGATGTGGTACTTGAGACAATGAACCAGATTCTTGAACTCTTAAGAATTTTGTCTTAAATTTTATCGACAAAATAAATCAGAATTAAGTGTGACATAATTAATTTACAAGTCATAAACTTTAACCTGGCTCTGATACCAAATGTTAGACATAAGGAGCGAGATCTTTAGTATGATTTGCAAATTAAAATTAAGTAGTAAATTCTAGATTAACATACCTTGACATATTGAAGACATTTTTTGGAGAAGAATTTCACAGCCCTTCAACAAGCCTTCCAATCACCAAGGTTATAAACTATAAACCTTTGCTGTCTAGCCTTCCCTCACTTAACTCTCTATTATGTTATTATAGTGATGGGTAAAAAATAACGAATGTCAGAGTGGTTAGAGGGACCAGGAGCCCTAGAGTATTTATAGAGTCACAATCCCTCCCATCATAGAATTGTGATAGACTCTAATTTCTTCAGATATATGATACTTTATTATGATAAGATACAGCTTAATAATCACTGTAATTATCAGATAAAATATCAAATATAATACATCTATATACAACAAATATGGAATCCCTTACTTCCTCCAATTTGTCTATCTTTAGGATTCTAAAACTATCAACATAAATCTATTCATGTGGTTACTTATCTTATGAGCTAGTGAGATAACAATTGAATATTGAAACGATATCATGTAGTCATGTAGGCCACACTAATATTTCAACAACTTTATCTCAAACCCACTCTCTGGATTCAACTCAAATTTCCAAGTAATGACTTACTAGATTGACAGTATTTATAAATTCTAAAACTTCCTAAGACAAATACAATTGTAAACCAAAACTTACTTGGAAACTGATTTTAGATTTCCTAATCTAATATAGAAGCTAAACAAATAAAACACCAAAAAGAATTAGGAAACTAAATATTAAAATAGATTGGTTTAATTTCCTTCAAAGGGTTTATCCAGGAGAAAGGTTTAAAGAGCTTGAAGGATCTTGCGGAGGATTACTTAACAGATCTTATTGGAAGAAGCTTAATAACAGTTGCCAAAAGGAGGTCGACAGCAAAGTCAAATCTTGTCGTGTTCATGACTTGTTTCTCTGTAGCAGAAAGGCTATTTGTTATTTGTTGTTTCAGTCGAGCGTAATCTTAGCGGCAAAATTTGAGATGGCTTTCGCTGGGCATGCATCTTGGTCAAAATATGCCATCAGATGTGGAATTAGATTGGTTAGTTCATGATATAAGGGCAACAAAATATCTGGTCACTAGGGCAATCGGTGGCTAGCTAATATAGAGTCTGGAAGTCAAGCAACTCGGCAGCAGCCCCTTCTATTATGAGCACAAAAACGTTAGCAGCAGAATCCTCAGATAATCCCAAATCTCTAAAAATTTTCTCATAGAAACACTTCTCTATTCCAAAAATGGTGCCTACGCAAATCTTGGCTACTTGTATCCACCGTTGGGTTTTCTCACTCAACTCGTGCGAGAACATAAAAACCTGTTAGCGTACCTCGTCCTTATTCCTTATCTTGTTATCTCTTGTAACAACTATACGATTAAGATAGAATTAGTTTTTGTATTCTTATATAAAACTAGTTGTATGATAATAATAGAATTAGTGTAGTATTCCAGTACATACGTTAGGCTAGAAGTCAACTATTTATTTTTCTATAAACTTTCAGTTGTACATTGCACTTACTAGTTTTTTCTATGAATAAGATTAGCACCTTTTGTCATGGTATCAGAGCAATGATCCTTCCTGTTCTTCTCTCCATATTTTGATTTTTTTTGTTTCTTCTTGTTATGTTCTTGGAATAATGGCGGAGCAAATCAAATCATAGAATCCAGGATACTCCTCGATTGGTGATTTGTTCCGTGATCCAAGTTCCCCATATTTTTTGACTTCTGTCGATTACACCAATGCTTCGTTAGTCCCAACGTTGCTTGACAGTGACAATTATCAACGATGGAAACGAAATATTTTGAATTCTTTGAGAAGAAAAAATAAAATCCCATTTGTGAATAGAGAATTGCTGCAACCGAAAGTTGGAAGCCGTGAAGCATTGCTTTGGAGTAAATGTGATGGGCTTTCTTGGCTTATCAATTCAATTAGTTTGGATCTGCATGATTCGATTACTTATCATGACTTGGCTAGGGAACTTTGGGTGGATTTGGAAGAACGTTTTGGTCAAAGCAATGAACCCAGAATCTATGATATAAGAAAGGGCATTGCTTTGTCTACTCAAGGAACAGCTTCGGTGACCACTTTTTACTCCAAACTTGAAGCCTTATGGGATGAGTTGAGTGCCTATTCAAACCTTCCAAATTGCTCATGTGGGGGATTGAAAGAATGGCTTGCTGAAAGGGATAAAGAGTGCTCACACCAATTTTTGATGGGATTGGATGAAAAATTTAAACCATTCGATTTCAAATATTGGCAACTGAGCCTTTTGCTTCACTTAATCATATATTCAACATGGTTAAGACAGAAGAGAAGCAACTGAGTTTTCTTGGTCCACAAGATTTTGATGGGGCAGGAGCTTTCTATGTTCAACAACAGCAGCAGCAGCCATGATCTAGTTTTGTTAGACGCAACCATCTCAATATGGTTCTGAGATGCTTCATGTTCGGCGACAGCAAGGCCAACCACGTCAGAATGGAAATCAATCTTCGAAATAGCCCAAAGTACGATTTGATCATTGTAATAAGGCTGGCCATACAATAGATAGGTGTTGGGAGCTTATAGGATATCCGAATAATTGGTAGCCTTCAAGGAAAAATCCCACCGCTACAAATGTGTGCTCAGATGATACAACAAATTCTTCAATTTCTACTACTTTAGTTAGTGGTTTGATAGCTGCATGGTATGAGCAACTTTTGTCATTGTTGAATAGTGACAGAAACTCTGGCTTTGGCTCAGTTAATTTTGCTAGTAACATAACCCATCCTTTAACTCCAAATTTCTTGTCCTCTTGCTGCACTTGGTTACTAGACACAGGTGCTACTCATCACTTTATAGGTGATAAAACTTTCTTGTTTGACCTAGTTAAATAAAAACAAATCCACTAATATATTCCTACCTGGTGGCACTATAAAACAACTTTATGAATATGGTAGTCATCATTTGAACTCCCTGATTACTTTGCATAATATTTTGCATGCTCCAAGTTTTCATTGTAATCTTATTTCTGTCAGTCGTCTCACCAAAGAACACAATTGTGTTGCCCTATTTTTTCTTAATTTTTGTGTTGTTCAGAACCTATGCTCGAGGAAACTGATTGGGGTAGGTAAGGAATGGGATGGTCTTTACTACTTCACCACAGACTATGCTAAGTCTCATCATGGCAAAGCTAATACGGTTTCAGGATCCACTGTTCTCT